TGAGATAATTGTACATTCAGATGAAGTTGTATGAAATAATACAGATATTCTCTGTACCTTTACCCACTTTTCCTTCAATAATAACATCTTGCACAGCTATTTTACAATATCACTACTAGGATATTGATATTGATACAGTCAGGGCCCAGAAGAACACTGTCACTAGAATGATCCCTCTCATGCCTTTTTTTTTTTTTTTTGAGACAGAGCCTCAAGCTATCCCCCTGGGTAGAGTGCCGTGGCTTCACCGCTCACAGCAACCTCCAACTCCTGGGCTCAAGCGAGTCTCCTGCCTCCGCCTCCCAAGTAGCTGGGACCACAGGCGCCCGCCACAACGCCGGCTATTTTTTGGTTGCAGCCGTCATTGTTGTTTTGGCGGGTCCAGGCTGGGGATTCGAACCCGCCACCTTAGGTGTATGTGGCTGGCGCCTTAGCCGGTTGAGCTATAGGTGCCAAGCCCCTCTCATGCCTTTTTATGGCTGCAGATACCACCATTCTTCTCTACCCTCTCCCCCCAAAATGTCTTGTTTTTAATCTCTGACAACCACTGATCTATATTACATTTCTAAAATTTTTCATTTTAGGAATTGTATAAAAGGAGTCAGGTTATGTAATCTGTTGGGATTGCATTTTTCCTCCCTATATAATTTCCTAGAGATTCATTCAAGTAGAGCATGTCAGTTGTTCATTCTTTTTTATTGCCTTTTGTATCTCATACTATGGATTTCCCTTAGTTTGTTTAACCATGTACCTATTGAAGGACATCTGGATTACTCCTAGTTTGGGGTTGTGATAAATTTATCAAATGAAATGGTCAAGAACAAAGTCAGTGGGGTAGGGTGGTATGAGAGAGAATTAACTGTGTACAAATTATGCAGTATTCCATGATTATTTAGAAATAACACTTAATTGGACTCAGTTTCACCTAGAAAGTTACATATGCTCAAAAGTGTAGCTATATTATACATAATAGTAAAACTCCCTATCTTGAAATAGAAAATGTATTTTATATAGCATATCCATTTCTGAAATACAATACAACTTTAAAAATCATGCCTTAGAATATTTAGGAAAAATATGGAAATGCTTAGTATATAATGTTAAGAGAACATTATCTTCAGTAATTAATACTTACTGGTTGCTGTAACAAACTATCCCAAAACACGAGGGGCTTCCCACAGCAAGAATTTATTCCTTGTCCACACACTGGTCTGGTATAAGTTGGTAAGTCTCCCAAGAAGCTGTTCTTCAGTGCACTGGGTGAGGCTTCCACCAGTGTATGGCTGCTCCAGACCCTACCTACCCTACCATGGCTGTGGAGGTCACCACAGGTGGTGGAATTGGCCTGAGAATCATGGGAGGTGTATTTAGAGGCTACGCTTGCAAGTGACTTATATCAATTTTTGTTTTGATGGCATCTAGGACATCAGGGGTAATATGACAACAGCTCTGATGTCCATTACAGGAAAAGGGGATTTCACAATTGCTTTTATGGTGGACTAAGTGCTGTTGTCAGTGTTGTGTCTGCATGTAACTTCCCATGGGGAGTACTTCAAAGGGGACCAGAGTGATGTTCATCAGGGACATCAGGGACATACTAGTACTTTTTCTAGGATGAGTTTGCAAACTTAATTGCCAGATCTTGCATGGCAGTGGTTTTCAAAGTGTGGTTCTTGGACCATCAGCATTGCCTAGGAACCTGTAAAAATTCAGTGCTTGGAATCTTATCTAAGATGATCAACCATCCTTGTTGCCCTTGGCTGTCCTGTTTTTAGCACTGAAAATCCTGCATTTTGGGAAACTCCTCTGTCCTGGGCTAACTGGGACAATTGATCACCATAGGCAGGCCTACGAGATCACAAACTGAGTGTGGAGTACAGCTATCCATGTTATCGTAACCCTCCTGGTGATTCAGACGCTTGCTATGTTTGAGAACATCAACCTGGGAAACTGTGCGGAGTTCAGTACTGCTCAGGGATGATGAGAGGTGAAGCTGAAGAGTAGGCAAAAAGTTCTTGTTACATTTTGTCAAAAAATTTTCTTCTAGGGTTGATTCGTATTAACTCATCAACTCAAGATTTTAATTGGCCAGGATATATTTTTGTGCTGGATCTTTGTATAAACAAAACCACTGTGATTAATGAAAATATTTTATCTATAAATAGAATTGTATTTTGGGCTGGGCATAGTGGTTCATGCCTGTAATCCTCACACTCTGGGAGGCTAAGGTGGATAGATTGCCTGAGCTCACAGGTTTGAGACCAGTGTGAGCCAAAGCAAGACCTCATCTTTAAAAAATAGCCAGGCATTGTGGCAGGTGCCTATACTCCCAGCTACTAGGAAGGCTGAGGCAAGAGAATAGCGTAAGCCCGGGAGTTTGAGGTTGCTGTGAGCTATGACTCCATGGCGCTTTACCAAGGGTGACAAAGTGAGACTGTCTCCAAAAAAATAAAATAAAAATAAAAATAAATAAAATTTAAAAAAAGAAATAAAATTGTATTTTAATGAAATCTAATTCGGGTTGTAACCCTTGTGACCTGAAAAGATAGACTTGGACCCCACTTAGATGTAATCAATTTATTACACCTGTGCAGGGGACCCCTGCTCCGAGAGGCAGGTGGCTGAAGTGGGGAGCAGGTTGTCTTTTATATATTTTTTTGCATAGCTAAGCAAGTAGGCTAGTACAGAAGCAAAAAGTTAGGGTTAGCTGGTGCGGGGCTACAGCTTGGGTGTAACAATGGTTACAGTTTAGGTAACAATGGTTACTGCTTGGGTAACACAGCTTAGGTAGGTTCCCACCATTGTTAGTCCGTCTGGAACTTCGGTGTGTGTGTGTGTGTGTGTGTGTGTGAAACTTGGGACTTTCTGTGCTTCTTTGTTCTGAAGCCTTTTATAGGAATGGACCGTAGTGGGGGGGGGGGCAGGGGACTGGGCTAGGAGAGGGGAACGGGTGGGGAGCTTCCCTGTGGGGCAGGGAATGGGGTTGGGAGAGGGGAACTGGGTTGGGAGAGGGGAAGGGGATTGGGAGTGGGGAATGGGCTGGGAGAGGGGAACTGGGTTGGGAGAGGGGAACTGGTTGGGAGAGGGAAACAGGGCTGAGAGAGGGGAAAGTGCGGGGAGAGGG